GCTCCAGCTTGTCTGTATCCTTATCAGCACTTATTACCGTCTGTCATCTTCATTATTAACATCCAAATAGATACAATGTGGTATCTCATTATGGTTTCGATTTTCTTTTCCCTAATGGCTGACGATATTGAACGTCTTCCCATGTGCCTACTGACCACTTTGTATTTTCTTTGTAGAAATGGCTATTCAGAGTGCTTTGACTTCACAATTTTGAAGAGTCAGCATGTTAGTACTATAGCAGAAGAGGGTATATAGTTCAGTATGCTTTCATTCCTTAAAAAGATGTAATGTACATTTTTAATATATGTGAAATATTTTAATTCAACAGAAAAAAAGAAAAATAGTGTAACAAGTATGATACACCGAAATCCAATGCTATGGGGTGTTTGTGTCCTTCATAACTATTATATTGAAACTCATTCCCCAAATTGATAGTATGAAGGGATGAGGTCATTGGTAATGATCAGGTCAGAATGTATCACTCAAAAATGGGCTTAGTGCCCTTATCAAGGAGACCTCAGTGAGCTGTCTTCCCCTTTCTGCCTTGTGAGGATGCCATGAGAAGGAACCATTTATAAACCGGAAGGCAAACTCTAGACTCTGAATCTTGTTTCTGCTTGTTTCTGAACTTCCTGGCCTCTAGAACAGTGAGAAATAAATTCTTGTTGTGTATAAGCTAGAAAGATAAAAATGGCTACTCAGATATACTTCCCATTTTAATTGTCTTATTATGCATTGTAAGTTACTAATATTTTGGGTGGGATTCAGAAAATCCCCCAAAAGGCTCATTAGGTTCAAGGCTTGGTTGCTAGCTGGTGGGCTTTTTTGGAAAGTAATGGGATTGTGAGGTTCTAACTTCATTAGGAAGATGTTATGGTTGATACATTGTGTCAACTTGAGAAGTTTAACTAAGAGACTCAGCAGGGAGCTAGGAGCCTTACTTTGTAAATATCCTCATTCTGTGCAGAGGAGGGCACAAAGATTTTGTGAGTGCTACACCTTCCCCGGGGACAAGTGGTGGCCTGCCCACAATATAAGGGAGGAGAAGAGGCTTGTAGCCCTGCTTTTGTTCTGGCTGCTTTTGCTGGCTGCTGCTTTCAAGTGCTGTCCCAGTGCCATGCCACCCTGCCTTCTGGACTGAAATCACCCTGCCAGCTGATTATGGACTGAAACCTCCACACACTGTGAGCTAAATAAACCTTTCCTTCCTTCGTTTTGGGTGTCAGGTATTTTGTCCCAGCAAGGAGAGAAAAGTTAATTCATTTATAAATTTATTAGTCTAATGGGATTTTAGGAGGTGTGGCCTCGTTGGAAGAAGTAGATTACTAGAGTCTGCTTTTGAAGGGTACTTTTCTCTTCTTCCCCCCACTCTTTTTCTCTCCCTCTTTCTCCTTCTCCTCTCATCCTTCGTTCCTGTCTCCCTCTCACTCTCTCCCTCTCTCCGACTCTCTTTCCTTCCTGGCTACCATTAAGATGAGCAGCTTTCTCCACAACATCTTTCTACCACAATGTGTCTGCCTTGCCACTGGCTGAGAAGCAACAGAGCTAAGTAACCATGAGCTGAAACCATAAGCCAGAACAAAGCCTTCTTCCTTTAAGCTGTTATCAGGTATTTTGCACGCTAATGGAAAGCTAACACTCATTTGGACCACAAGCCCCTTCTCAGATATGTGATTTTCATACATTTTCCTTGTTTATTCAATCCTTTAGAAAAGAATACTTCATAGGTACTTTTCTTGGTTTGTTCTTTGTCTTTGACGATTATTATGGTGTTTTCGTTATGCAGGCAGGTTTTAATTCTTACATCGTCAAACTTATCAGTCTTATACTGCTTTGAGGTGTTAAGTCACAGTTATAAAAGTATTACTCATTCCCCAGATTAAAAAAATTACCCATAATTTCTTCTGATGTTTTATGACTTAATCTTTTTTTAAAGCATTTAGAATTTATCCTAGTATTTATTATGAGAAACAGATCCAACTGAATCATTTTTTCCATAAAGCTATCAAAATACTCCAATGCCGTTTATTTTCCTGTTTTACTAGACTTTTTTTTAATGTCTTTAAATTCACAGCAAAGTTAATAAGAAAATACAGAAAATTCCCATTATCCCATCTCTATGCATGTATCTACATTGACACATCCTTGTCATTCATAGTCCCTGGGTCAGCTGGGCATGGTGGATCACACCTATAATCCCAGCACTCAGGAGGCTGAGGCAGGAGGATCACCACAGGTTTGAGACCAACCTGCGCTACACAGTGAGTTAAAAGATAGCCTGAGTTACATAGTGAAACCCTGTGTCAAAAAATAAAAGCATAAAGCGAAGTCTATGGTTTACATTAGAATTCACTCTTGGTGCTGAACTGTGGGCTTGGACAAATGTATGTCACATCACCCTTCATGATAAAACATGACACAGAATAGTTTCACTGCCCTGAAAGTCCTTCGTGTCCTCCCACTCATTCCCTCTCCCTTTTTACCTTTGGCAACCACTAGTTTTTTTTACTGATTTCATAATCTTGCCTCTTCTGTAATGTCATATGGTTGGAATCATGACATCTCAGATTTCTATCACTTACTAACTCACATTTAAGTTTCCTTTATGACTATCAAAAATTTGATAATTTTTTAATGCTCACTAATGTTCCATTGTGTAGACATGCCATAGTTTACTTACCCTTTTGCCAATCGTGTTTCTTCCAAGTTTTGGCAATTATGAATTAAGCTCCTACAAACATCTATGTGCAGGTTGTGTGAGGATATAGGTTTTCAGTTCATTTAGAATTCTAAGGAACACAGTTGTTAGCTTGTGTGGCACGAATGGCAAGTGTTTAGTTTTGTAAGAAATTGCCAAACTCTTTCAAAGTAGCTGCACCATTTTACATTGGTGAGTTGATATCAAACACAATTTATTTAAAAGTACAGCTTCCCCCTGATTTAAGACCCTATATGTATTACACTGTATTTTAATATTTTGGGGGAGTAGTTCTATTTTGGGGTTACATACTTAAACTTCTGTTGTGCTATTGGCTTGTTAATTCAAATAGTGTTCAGATACTGTGCTGTTTTCGTTTTGGAAGCTTTATAAATTATTTTAACATCTAGGACAACTATATTTTCTACTTCATACTTCTTCAGTTTTTAGGCTATCATTGTGGTTTATTCTGCCATAAGAACTTTAAAAATGAAGTACTAATATCAGTTTATAATACAAATACCCAGTGGTCTTTGTGTTAGAATCAAGTTGAATTTATAAACTAAGAGAGTTGATGTCTTTACAGTTGAGTTTTGCTATACAAAACCAGAGGATTTTTCTAAAGTCTACTTTTCTATCTTATAGATGTGAGTTTTTGTTCATTTCCTCCTCAACGATCTATATTGCATAATTCTCACATTTATGCATTGATATTTTGTTACTGCTTAGTCCTCTCTTTCATTATGTTTTTGAACTGATTATTGTGTGTACAAAGATTCTTATTTCATATTTAATTTTCGGAAACTTAACCAAGTTACCTTGCTTGTAGCCATCTTTACATTATTTTTGCTTTAATTTTCAAGGTCCATAATCATATCATGTGCAGATGGAAGTAGTTTTACCTCTTCCATTTCAAACCTTCTGCTTTAACATTTAAAACTGTGGCTAACTGCATTGTTAATACCTCAGTGGGGTGTTACATCATAGTAGTGATAGTCTTGTTCCTGACTATTGGGAATGCCATTAAGTAAACAGCTGAGTTTTGAGTCTACTCTCTCTCTCTCTCTCTCTCTCCCTCTCTCTCTCTCTCTCTCACACACACACACACACACACACACACACACACACACTATGAGGGATCTAATGCCCTAGCTTGTTCTGTCTTTAAGGAAGGACAGTGGCATGCCAGGCATGGAGAATAGGCCTGTGTGTTGTTGTTTCAAGTAAGGCTGAATAGTTCAGTGACAAGGAGTGCAGGAAAGGCAGTGAAGTCTGAAGCATTCTTTACTTATTTTGAGTATTTTTTAAAATCATGAGTAAAAACTTTTTTTTCAAATATCTTTAGCAATTGTGACACTGTGAAAACATGATTTCTCTCCTTATATCTTATGAATACAGTGGTTTTGTTGTTCAATTCCTTAACATGCATATTGCACTTGGGTATAATGTACTATTTTTTAATGTGCTTTTTGGATTCTGTTTGTTAATATTGTGGTTTTGGATTCTGTTTACCAACATGTTGAAATTTTTATATCTTTACTAATAAGTATACAATCAATCATTCTGTTAATAGATATTTTACATAAAAAATCATAAGATTATTAATTAGTCTGTTAAGACTAGGAAGTCCTTAGATTCTAATATGATGGCTCTGAACACTTAAAATAGAAATTTCCTTGACATTGGGACTGCAGGTTTGTAATCCACATTTATGATCTGGCCTTATTTTATGAAAATAAAATTCTGCTCCTGGGGTTATAAACTTAAATTTCTGAGTGTGTAGCATCTCAAATGTTTTTGAATTATTAGATGACATCCTTTCTTTCTCACTTGCCATGGGCCAGGGCTTCAGTTTATAGTGTATACTGTTTTAAGCAAAAAAATGTGTTTAAGATGAAATGATGCCTCCCACAACAAGCATAGTACCTTTGATACTTGTCACTAATAGTATTGTAGTGTTTCTCCCTCTTTCTACACAAGATCTCCATACGCCCAGAATTATTTGCAGTCCTATTGTGGTGGCATTAGTTTTTTGTCACAGAGATAGTCTGATACATTTAAAAAATTGTATTAATTTGCTTAAATCATAAGTAGTAGATTTGGTAGTAACAGAAGGGGTCTCAAAATGCATAGAAAAGCCAAAGCTCATTATGTTGCTCTAGACCTCTATGTATATTTTAAATCATTTTCTAATTTAGTTGTTTGCTTAATAAAAGTTAGATCAAATGCAGCTTTTTTCATAAAGCTCCGTACCAATGCTTCTGCTCAAACTAGAATTTTTTTTCCTGTTTGTATCTTACAGAGGACATAAAGATAAAATATTTGTGGTAAAGTGTAACCCCCATCACGTTGACAAACTGGTTACAGTTGGGATTAAGCACATCAAATTCTGGCAACAAGCAGGTACTCTCATTTTGGGGTTATCGTTTATGTAGCTAAGAGCTTTTCCATAGGGAGGTTGAGGGTGGGGCTCCATTGCTGCCTTGTGGCTTGTGTCTCTGCAAATTAAGACAAAATGTACCTAACAGATATTCTCGCCCAAATTAACTGTGGGCTGTCTAATGTCCAAGCTGTGAAACTTAAAATAGTATATTAGCCTATGCATATTCAACAGTGTCTAGAAAGCCTTGGAAAATATTCTGCTGTGAAAATAATGGTTTTTATATTTAGTCATCTGTTCTGAAAGCAATAATTATATTGGATGACTGAGCAGGAAATAATCATTTTGGTTGAGTGGGTAAAGTTTTGAATATTTTGAGAGTTCTTTTATTAATCTATCACTGAATTTAGCATAAACTCTGGCTCTGCACGCAGAAGATAGTCAAAATATTTGCGCGTTATGTGTTGATAATAGTGCTGAGTAGATAAGCATGACCAAACATAAAAGAATATCTTATTCTTCTCAGTAACAAGTCATTGTTGTGATTGTTTTTGAATTTTTAGCATCAGCTCTGGTACCAAGCCTGACCTCATAAAGCACAAAACCAAACAGGCTACTGTTTCAGAATTTCCTGTTTCTAAAGGAAAGACAGTAGTCCACAGCGTGTTGAGAGTGAGTCTGTGTGTAACTGTCCTGATGAACCTCATCTTAGTCACTTTCTTGTCAGTGGAGCACAATACACAACAGCCACAATTTAAAGGAATAGTTTATTTTGGCTTAGACGGAAACCCAGCAGAGAAAACTTTAAATCCTGTAGCTCTGTGTCCAGCACCTGGGGCAAGTTGTGTGGAAATGTGAACTCAAAAGGATTAGGTGATCCTACCCCTGTGGAACTGCTGGTTGCATTCCCCATGGGCTATCTCTTGGGGTACTCTCAGCTGCAACTTGCTGTAGCACACATCCTGCTTTACTGATGTTCCCACTTCCTAGGTCCATGCAGCCCTTTCAGGGCCACACTGCCTGGCCTTCAAGGCCTTCGTCTGAAATCTGGATGGGAGTCTCCATGACCGTGTAACTCTTACATTCTGCATTCTTTTAAAATCAGCCCCACATAGATGATGCCAGCATCTGCTGTTAGCTTGAGCTGCAGTCAGGCCTCCTTGTCTCGTGGTGCAGAGGCCTCTGAATGTATGAATGGCTAAGCACTGTGAAGTAAATCACAGGAACCAGCTCCCTAGAGAGCTGTTTTCCAGCAGAACCCCTGTTAAGCACCCTTGAGCCAGCAAAAGGTGAGGGTCTTTCTGATTTCTGAGATGCATTCATTTTTTCTATTGTCCTGATGTAAAGTACTTGGCCTCTTTTTAAGCAACCACAGTCTTCTTTGCCCTAATTCTATAGCTGCTCCTTTTCTGATAGAACTGCAGTTTTCACATTTATTTTTTTGCTCATGAGTTCACTATAGATCTGGTTAAAAGTGGCCAGAAGTACCCATGTCACAAACTAAACACTGGGCTGCCTTGAAATTTTCTCCACCAGTTACTCTACTACCCTTAATCTCAGTATCTCACATAGTCTCAGGACATGGACCAGAGTATAACATACACATCCTCTAGTCTAACAGCTAATGGAATCCTGTTCCTAAATGAAACATTTGAGCCTGGCCTTTACTAATCTACTAGCTTAGCCTGTTCTTACTCAGATTAACATATCACAAAGTGGGGCTGCCTAGGGAACAATTCTGATGGTTTCTGTCAGTGTACTACTTTGTCATATATAGCTGTTGTCTTTACCCCCAGATTTCTGTAATAAAAACTTAGGCAGAAGATATAAAATAGATTTCTACTTTATAAAGACAATCCTGTTTGTTTATTTGTTTATGGTACTAGGAGTTTAATTTAGGAGAACTCTACTGGCTATGCCCCAGGCCTTTGTATTCTTTATGCTGAGACAGGGTCTTGCTAAATTACCCAGTCTGCCTTCAAATTTAGAATCCTCCTGCCTCAGCCTCCAATTCATGGAAATTATAGGTGTTTTCTTTTAGATCATTGTTCAGTAAAGCTGTCCTCATTCTTGAACTTCATAGTTTGTTCTTTCTCTGGCTACCATTGAACTTTCCCTGCTAGACTGGCTTCTCTAGACAGGTTCAAATTCCTTAACAGCAGGAACTCTTTCTTTGCATTTTCATTCCTCCAGCATTGAGCACAACATAGGGATTAAATAAATACTGAGTTAATGAAAAGTGAGTGAGAAGCTCTCTTACAATGTTTTTGTTTATAGGTCTGACAAAAAATAAAGACTCATTATACACTGAATTAATTAAAGAGAGGGTGAGGAGCCCTCTTATAATATTTTTGTTTATGATGTTCTCTATCATTTTTATGTATCAGTATGTATACACTCTGAGTTTTTTTTTTAATTTCATTTAGTCAATCTACCTGCTAATAGGAAGTATCAACTTTTAAAAAGTAATACATACTCTGTCTACTGCAGGTGGTGGTTTCACCTCTAAAAGAGGAATCTTTGGAGGTGTTGGAAAACTGGAGACAATGATGTGTGTCTCTTACGGGAGAATGGAAGATCTGGTGTTCTCAGGAGCAGCTACTGGAGATATTTTTATTTGGAAAGACATTCTACTACTAAAGACAGTGAAAGCTCATGATGGGCCTGTGTTTGCTATGTATGCATTAGATAAGGTATGGTATGTTTTTAGGAATTGTTTACAGTCTTTGGAAGGTGTCTAAAAGGAATCCTGGCTCTGTAAATAGTGTTACCTGAGTGATGGAGGAGTCATCATGGGGCTCTGGTCAGAGTATTAAGGCTAATGTGTGTGTGTGTGTGTGTGTGTGTGTGTGTGTGTGTGTGTGGTGCTGGGGACTGAGTCCAATCACATGTGCTAGCCAAGCACCGTACTACTGAGCTGTACTCCTAGCCCTTGATCTTTGTTTTTAATTGTGATTTTGAGTCCAAAGCATTTGGGGAGTGGATATGAGACCCCAGGAGCTCTGCTAGGTTTTAAGGTTCTTCCTGTCCCACAGGAACTGTTCAAGACAGAACCAGCCATAGCTGGGCCAAGTGCTGAAGAAATGCAGGAGACATACAATATGAGTGTGCTCAGTCTTGCAGGAGAGAGATTTCCATAATATATTATTTGAATTCTATTAACTTTTTTAGTGTTATATACTTGGGAAAAAAATCCACAAAGCTGTGTTATTTAAGCAGCAATCCTGTTGGGGCTGAGTGAGTGACTGGTCATTTAGGTGAGTGTGTAATAGCAGATGTGTATGTAATACTCCCCATGTGTGTCTTCTCAGGGCTTTGTAACAGGTGGGAAGGATGGAATCGTCGAGCTCTGGGATGATATGTTTGAAAGATGCTTGAAGACTTACGCCATTAAAAGAGCAGCATTGTCAACTAGCTCAAAAGGTGCCACCCCTGAATATGCGATAGGAATCTTTCTGTTCACAGGACTGGAAGAGATCGTACCGTACTTGTAGGAGTTCATACTCTGATTAGTCCTATCATCCACAGTCAGGACTCTTAGCACAAAGTTAAGAATGATTGCTTAGGAACTGTAAAAATTGACTTTATGCTAATAATCCGTCTTGTTCTTATATTTAAATGCATCATTTCCCCCTCAGGCCTACTTTTGGAAGATAACCCTTCAATCCGTGCCATTACTCTGGGACATGGACATATCCTGGTAGGAACAAAAAATGGAGAGATTCTGGAAATTGGTAAAAGTGGCCCAATGACACTACTTGTTCAGGTACCGTCATTTCATGTCCGGACTGGCTCTAGGATGAGGTGAAGGAGCACTTGGGGTTCAGAACTTGTGCAGCAGTCCCAGGGCTGTGCAGGCTGCCTGCTGCTGTGTAACACTTGGGCACAAACAAGCAACAGTGCGCGTTTATTTTCTGCTGTTTCTCTGATGGGGAGTCCAAGCACAGCTGACCTGGTCCACTGCTGAGGCTTCACACGGTCTCAGTCTCGTCTGAGGCCTAGAGGGGCGGGGGAGGGTCTTTCAGGCTCACTCAGCTTGTTGATGCAACTTAGTTCCTTGAGCCTATAGGACTGCGCCTTCTCATCGGCTGTTGGGCAAAGGCCACCCTCAGCTGCTGCGGGCTGTACTGACTTCGTAGCATAGAGGGTTTCCAGTAGCCACTTGCTTTTCCAAAACCAGCAAGCAAGAAAAAATAGATACTACAATCTTATATAATTCTATCTGCACATAACATTTCATCATGAACATTTGGTCACTTTCACCACATTGTGTTGGTGGGATGCCTGCAGATCATGCCACTGAGAGGGAGGTGATTATTTCAGAGTATGAAAACTCCCAGGAGTGTGTCCATCACAGCCCACCCTCTGGTCACCAATTATGCATGTCCCTATGGCAAGCAAAATACTCCACCACCACCCCGTCCCCTGCAGCCTTATGCTGTGATGTTACCTCTTCAGAGTTCAAAATCTGATCATCCAGATCAGGCCCGAGTAGACTGCTCCTCAGTCTGTTGGAGGTGGACTCACAAGGTGAGTGGGTCCTCCTGATGCACCAAATGTGTAAAGTGCTCCCTGAGGTCAGGCACCTCACTGCTGTGGCAGCCTTGCTTGCCATATCATAGCACGTTCTCTTACTCTCTGTCTCCCTCAAGAATCATGTTTAGGTAAAGTCAGATTAGTAAGACGATCAGTGGAATCCTGAAAGAACACAGCAATGGGAAACTTTCACCTCAGGGGCAGAATAGGCGGGTTGTGGACGCGGGTAGATGAGTAAGCAGGCAGATCACAGACCCATTTCCTTGTGCTGTTCCAGTTATTTCTGTCCTGCCTCCCTCGCTCTCCGCTCCTGTGCTCTGCAGGAATGTGAATACTCAAATTAAGGAAGTGGCACTTTGCCATCAGTATGGGACAGTGGTTTGGATGGTTTCTTTAAGTGGTGCAGAGACCTTACCAACAGGTGAAGAGCAGGGGAGGGGAGAGGGAAGTGAAAAAATGCCTGATCCTCTGAGCTGCAGGACCTGTGCAGGTCCAGCGTGGGAGCTTCACCCGCTTCCTGATCTGACCCATGCCTGCAGGCCAGATTAGAGATGAATTCCGTGGCAACGATGCCTCTCATATACTACATCCTGAGCACAGGTCACAACACACATGGCACCTTGGCTCTGATGCAAGAGTTCCAAAATATACACACCCAAGCCCTGGATAGCCTGAGTAAGAATATACGGGTAGCTGGACATGCTTACATAAGCCTGTAATCCCAGCTACCCAGGAGGCTGAGGCAGGAAGATCTCAACATCAAATTCAACCTGGGCAACTCAACTGAAAAAAATTTAGAAGGGGCCTGGGGCTGTAGCTCAGTGGTAGAGGACTAGAAGAGCACTAGAAACCCCAAATTTTGACTACCAGTACAGAGAGAAATAGTTATTTTTTTAAAAAGTCTTGAAACCTTGCAAACTTTATATACAGACAGCCAGGATGAGAACTCTGCTGAAGATGCCTCCTTGATACGAGTTTTAGTTTTTGCCGTTCTTGCTTTTGTTATGCTCTTCCAAACTTTTTTTTTTTTTTCTGGCCAAAATTCCTTATTTAATGTTACTGAAAAGTATTGATTTGTTTTTATCCCCTTAATGTTCAAGAGTTTAAATGATTTCCATGCATGGTATATTATACAATAGTTTAGAAAGTTATGCTATAATATGATTTAAATGATACATTTTAAAAGTTTTTATAGTTAATTTTGTTTAAATATATCTTAAGCTTGATAATGAAGTCTTTTCACTTTTTGCTTCTTTACGATTCCATTCTTTCCAGTGTCTGTTAGTCTCATAATAAAAACAGCCTCTGCTGTCATTTGTTGAGCACCCACTGTGCTGCAGGCAGGACTGGTGTACGACATTTTTCTCTCATTTGCAAAACAGATTCCTCAGTTAAAATTGTTTAACAAGTAAAGGGTCAAAAGCCAGTAAATTGCCTACTAAGAATGTAACAGCTGGCCAGGACTCAAACCACAGGGATTTTGGTTTGGTTTGGTTTGGTTTGCTTCGGTTCTGTTGTGTCTTTGTTTGAGACGGGGACTCACTATGTAATTCGGGCGGGCCTTGAATTCACTATGCATCCCAGGCTGGCCTCAAACATGAGAAGGTCCTCCTGCCTCAGCCTCCAGGCAGGGTGCTGGGATGACAGGTGTGCACCTCACGCTAGGCTCTAACCAAAATGTGAAATGCAGGCCCTCTCACTGCTGCAGGCCGCCACCCACATGCTGTGTAGCTGGGAACATAGCGGAAGGCAGTGCGGCAAGCAGAGCCCTCAGAGCTGTGGGGTCAGCTGGGTTGCTGGAACCTCAGCCCCAGGCCTTTCCATCTCGTCCTCGCTTGTGGGCCCTTCTGTCCCTTTCATCTCAGCACTTCTCTCCCAGCTTCTGTTCTCTCACTTGCTGCTTCCTCCCAAGTTGAATTCGTAACAGAACTGGTGTTGGAGCTGCTGCTGAGGTTGCTCTGCCATGTACTCTGTGGAATGCACGGTAGGGTCGGGTTGCCTGCTCACCTGGGGCTCACAGTCTCGTTCTGAGAGAAGACAGATGCGGAGACAGTTACGGAACTAGGGTGGCAGTGTAAGACCATCACCTACTCTGCTCTGGCAGGATTTCTGAACCGCATGTCCCGCAATACTGTGTGTTCCAGTACCCTTGGGGTAGAGTGTGTATTGTTTACAAGGAATGCTACTTTGGAAGAGAAGTGATAAATGGCATTAGGTTGATTAGGAAAATTTCCATGAAAATAATCAGTTCACAATATACTCAGCTCTGCACTGTGCTGTTTATGATCAGTTTTATGGGTGATGAGTGACCAAGTAAGATCCGAGGCCCATTTCCTTGTGCCACTTGAGCTCTTTCTGTCCTGCCTCACACTCTGTCCACTCCTGTGCATATAGGAATTGGAATACTCAATTGAAGGAAGTGTTATTTTGAAAGCAGCATGGACAGTGGTTTGAATGGATCTCAGAGTCTGCAACCCTGTCTTCAAGTAAAATGTGCAGAGGAATTCAGTCTCTGGAAAGCTCCCTGCAGAGCCAGTATGGGACAGTGTAGATGTGGAGGTGGACATGTGACCTGTCCTGTGACTGTGACCATGGGAGGAAGCTTCTGATGACTAGAAAATAGGGGACATAGGGTGCCCCCAAATCTGAAATGGCTATCTGCTTGAATCTGCTTTAGGGGTTCCATTTGTTTCCTGTGTTGTGCTTTTGTAATTTGCTTACGCTCATCCATATTCTTGTCCGTGTCTGCTGTAACATCAGTAAGTGTGGTATGTATTTTGGTAATCTCTGTAGTTATTTGAGAGACTATTTCTGATGTCATTTTTTTCGGAGCTTCATTCAATTGCTTTGTTACCACTTCGGAGAGCCCTAGTAGGGAGCTTTTGAATTTTCCAGCCTCATTGCCCCCTGGGTTTGCCTTTGGTGAACTGGGTGTCTGAGGTTGTGTCTTGTTTAAGTGTTTTCTCATATTTTTTCAACAGAATGCAGAACAGTTATATACAATATATAAGACCATGATATATCAATTCTGTTCTCAAGGGTTAAGATTCAAAATGGATTACAGAGAAAACAGAAAAGTGGGGAAAGAGAAAGAGATCACAAGTGGGTTGGAGGACAAAGATGAATCCCACCAACTTGGGGAAACTGATGCAGAGGACTGAAGGAAAAGAAACCTGAAAGAGATTAAAGGAAGAACAGAACAAAACCACACCCGCAAGGAGGTTAGGAACCACGCTCACACTCGGGGAAAAAAAAATAAGAGAAGTAAAAAATAAACTTAATAAAACAAACAAGGAAAAAAGAAAAGAAAAACAAAAACAACAAAACAATACAACAACAACAAAAATAGTCCATTTCCAGGATTGCCTCTGGACTCACTAGTAGCCAGCCTGTGCAGACAGTGCCCCAAATCCCACCGCTGTATCCCCACAAGCCAGGAGCTGCTTCATGACGGAGTAGCAGCCAGCCTTAGCGTGCCTGCCCGGGGCCCAGACTCGTGGTCCAAGCAGTTTCTAGGTCTGCAGCCAGCCAAGATCACCAGCCAACACAGTCCTCCACCTCGCTGCTCCCCGCCACCTCCGAGTCTCTCCGCAGAGGTGCCAGCTGCCGCTGTGCCCGGGACTGCACGTCTCCAGGTTCCAACAGCTCCCCTCATGCAGTGAGTCGGGCTCCAGGCACAGGTGCCACCAGCTACTGCCTTCTTCTTCATTGAAATTTTTCTTTTTCCTCTCTCTGTGGGCTTCAATTCAGACGTCAGACTCTTCCTGGGTCCAAGGCACCCACTCCCTTCCTCCTTGTCCTCCTCACGACGGTACATTCCTGTGTCTAGATGATGTCTCTCAGAGAGCCTGTTTCCCCTGCTGCTTACTGCTCTGCTATCTTCCTAGAAGTCTCCAAAATCTGACAAATGACAAAAATACGTGTACTCTTCAACCCCATATTTTCTCAGATATTGAATGTTGATTGTATTTAGAACTTTGTGTCTTCTACCAAATCACTGTTCTGCTCAAATAGCTTCTGATTGCTCATCAGAAAGCCACCTGTTCCCCAGAGCATTCCAGCTACAAACACCTTTGGATGACTCTGCATGGTCTCCCTTTTTGCTTCTCTGAGCCAAGCCTTCTTGCAGTTAACCCTCAAAATCAGAAATGCAGGGAGCAAGCTGGTTTATTTTATTGCTCTACAACATCCTTCTTTATACTGCTTTAATCTATCAATTATAGGAATCAAATTTTTTTTCCTGTTAAATGTTCATTTAAAAAAATAATGGTTTATCTCAGTTATTGTTCTGATGCAGTCAGGTGTGTTTATGATAAGGTATAGGTACATGGAGTTAGTCCAGAGCATATTGAGAAGCTTTCATTTTTCTCTTTTTGTCTCTGTCTCTGTCGTGTGCATGCATGTATATCTGTCTGTGTATCTGTCGTGTGTGTGTGTGTGTGTGTGTGTGTGTTGGGAGTTACTAGGAATTGAACCAAGGGCCTTGTGCATGCTAGGCAGGTAGTTTACCACTGAGCTATATCTCCAGCCTTTTTTATGTTTGTTTTGAAGCAGTTGTTTTGCTGAGATGCCTAGGATGGACCCAAATCTGCAGTTGTCAAACTTCAGCTTCCTGAGTAGCTCAGATTGTAGACATGTACCATCATGCTTGGTCCTTGCACTTTCCTGATATCCACTGTGGGCACACAGACCAATTTATGAATAAATGCTGAACCTGAACTACACTCAGCACACCAGAAATTAACATTTAGATTTATTTCTACTCTGCCAAGTGTTGTGCAGGCAAAGAACAACTTGTATAAATAACAAGAACATTGTTGTCTAATTCCATGTCAAACAGATTAGAGTGTTTTAGAATATAATTTTACTGAAGGAAGTGGTTTATGTCATATGATCAAGATGTTTTACTAGGAAGTACGTGTGTATTGTGCTTATTCAGTGTAAAATAGGTTAAAAAGAGGATATTTCACAGTTCACCTAGATGTTGTTTCTAAAAGGGAAGATACCTATTATCAAATAAAACCTGTAAATGATGTGTGTGTATTTTGCTTCCCAAAAGAATGATTTAGCATCATGTAGGTTCGGCTTTAAGTCCAAGTGCAAAAATTATTCAGTGCAATGATTTTGGGTTTAATTTGTACTTGAACCTGAATGGTGCACTCAGCTGCCTCTGTGGCACGGAGAGGAAGGACTGGCCTTTCTCGGCATGGGCTGAGCTTGGTTTCCGTTTCCTCTTCCCAGGGGCACATGGAAGGAGAAGTCTGGGGGCTGGCAGCTCACCCTCTCCTACCCATCTGTGCGACAGTCAGTGATGATAAAACCCTTCGGATTTGGGAATTATCTTCCCAGCACCGTATGCTGGCAGTGCGGAAACTCAAGAAAGGTACACATCTCCGTAACCATCTGTAAAAGTGTTTACAAGCAACAGAATGTGTAGCTTCACTCATGTACCCAGCTAATGTTTACTGAGAGCACCTGTGGTGTGCTTCCAAAATATAGTAGGCAATGAGAACTTAGAGTTCACTGTACTCACTAAGCACAGGCTGAGTTTTTCCAAAAGGATTGCCTGAGTCAACGGTGCTGTAGGACTGTTGTTCACTTTATTTTCTTGTACTACACAGACATTTGCCACCTGGGGGCAATATGTCCTTCCTCTTCTCATGGAGAACTGTGGGAGTCAACTGAAACATGTCAGCTTGCAAAGAATTCTTTTTATCTTTATGACCAACAGTCTCCAGAACTTATTACTGAAAAATAAGTCAATTATGAGAGAAACAAATATGTATCAAACATTTGAGTGCTTTAGAACTAAAGGGTACACCAGGAGGTGGAAATTCAGCAACATTTATTAATCAGATTCTGTGTGTCATATGCTAGGGAATCCTGACATGAACTGTCCCCTCTCTGGTGTCAGAGATGGACAAGATTTAAACGGAGTCCGAGCAACAGGTGGGCCATTCAGATTGGGTAACTTGAGAAGAGTCTAAAATGGGACTCTTTGTAAAGAGATGAGTATAGTATAAAGAAATGACCAGGGTAGTGCAGTACGTGCAGCCCATAGTACAGGTTTCATTACCAGCCCTCGGCCTGAAGACACAAAAAGGAGGGGGAAATGCTAGAACCTTGAACCTGAGATATTATGTAAGTTGGCAGCCAGAGAGGAGCTATGACATCAGCCTGGAGACCCAGCCAGCAGGCAGCAACTGGTCAGACAAGCACTCTAGCTTCTGTTCTTTCTGTCTGCTGCCCTGCTCCCTCCTCGGCCTAAACCATCCAGAAACTGGAGGCAAGATAATTCTACTCAGGCCAGCTTTAGGCACAGAGCAGGTGAAGAATGGAAGATGAAGAATGAATTGGAAGGGTAAATTGCACGTATCCTACACAAACAGTACCACCGAAGCTCAGAGGAAACCTGTTACCTGGAACTGTTGCATCTTGGAGGAGACATGAGAGCTGAGGATTTCTGAGTCAATGAAAGTTCTTAAGGCAAGAAAAGATAAGCTTGGGGTTTGGTCGTACACTATTTGTACTCAGAGGTTTTATGAGCAGAGAGTCATGAGAGTAAATCTGGAGGAATATGTCAAATGAAAACACACAGAGACAGTTGTAGCAATGGTGATAGCAGCTGATGCTGGGGAGCCAGCCAGCATGCTAGCACTTCACACTTAGCCCAGGAACCCAGTGAGGAAGGCCATTCTCACTACTGCTATCAGATTAGGAAAGCCAGGCCCAAGGTACTGAAGTAGCTTACCTCAGATTATACAGCACAAGTGAAACTAAACTCAAACCCAGGAAGGGTAGCCTCAGAGAGCAGCCGTGTGGACACTGGTGCTGTTTCCCTCTGGCATGTCGCCTCTCTTTTACCCTTAGATTCTTGGGCCTCAGTAGATAGAGGAGCCAGACTTCCCACCCAGGTCTGAGTCCAAAACCATCTACTTATCCACTGTAGGACTGACTCTGCTCACTGATATATATTGGGGCAGTGAAACTAGGTCCTGATTTGAATGTCAATGAACTTCATTAAAAATTAATTCAAAAACTATTGATCCATCCTAGATAGTTGATGGTTCAATTGTTTACTCTATGTATCCTGGTGTATTATTAACAGCTCTCCTTTGCACTGTTGAAAGTGGCTTGGTTTCTGCAGTAAATTGTAGTTCATCTGATCGTAATGGCGTCTACCCAAGGCAGACTCATTTTTCCTCTTCCCGCTACCAGCACCACAACTGACTTACAGCAGGTAAATGCGTGCTAAGTGAGGAAATAAAGATTTGCTTTAGAGGAGCCAACTTTAAGTTCGCAGTGTGAACATTGCCTTTGGCACAGTGTGCAGTGTGGCAGGAGTCACTGTGGAAGTTTAAGCTGAGGTGCCTCTGCACAAGGCCGTGTGGCTGCTCCATCCCTGAGGCCACGTGACAGCAGTAGACGTGGCTGCAGTGACAAGTGTTCTCATTTGGACTGCGAGCATGGTCATGCAACTCCGTGATCCTGTCAGAACTATTGGATTATACATTATAATTAAGTGAATTATATGACACATGAATCCTGTCTCAGTAAAGCTGAAAAACCAGTGGTGAGGGTGGTTGTATTATGAATTCAGCTTCCTATTAAACGTATCCCCCAGAAGTCCACACTCTGCACTCAAAAATGTCACTCTGTGGTCCTACAAAGCAGCAGAAAACATTGCTTGTTCCACATAACCCTCCTAGTAGTGGTTAATTTTACAGAGACCCCTGAGAGAGCTGTCATATTCCATAATCATGATGGAGAAGGCAGACCCCAAAATTTTTAGCTCTAGAATTTGCATATTACAATCCATCGAGTAGAGAATTGGAGTGGCTGAAATAGTGATTTTTTTTTAAATAAAACAAGTTTGTATATAAGGCACGAGATTAAAAAAAAATGGTATCAGCAAATTTTATTCTACAACTTCCATTCTGAAATACATCCTCTTTGCTTAGAAGCCAAGTAGATGATATATTAAGTTTCTATTTGTTTTCCTGCTCACCTCATTTATCTTTTGAAAACTTCTAGAATTCAGATGCTAAGAAATGAATGGATAAAGCTTATAAAAACTGAAAACCTATTTTTGATATTATGATTATTGTCCTTGGATATGCGGAAAGATCTTTTAAATTATGAAATTTTAATTCCCAGTAATAGTGAGGAAGACCCGGTCACATGGCCTTGCAAAGCAGTCAGGTGCAGACTTCTCCGTTCCCCCATTGGGCTTGGGTGACAGTGAATGTGGGGTGACAAGTGTCTCTTGTGGCTTTCTCTCTAGGGGGAAGATGCTGCGCGTTCTCCCCAGATGGGAAAGCCCTAGCGGTCGGCTTAAACGATGGGAGTTTCCTGGTGGTGAATGCTGACACTGTTGAAGACATGGTCTCTTTTCATCACAGAAAAGAAATGATTTCTGATATTAAATTTTCAAAAGGTGACAATGGCAGCAGATACTTTTGAAAATGTCACAGTCTTGGAACTCCCAAAATTATAAGAATGGACATTTAAAATGTTTCTTTGACCTTTGCTCTACTTTAAAATACTGAGTTTAGGAAATTGAAGTCCTGTGTAAAGGGTTTTGGTGTTAACTGAATGTTTGTCTTTGTCTTTGTAGATACAGGAAAGTATCTTGCTGTAGCATCTCATGATAACTTTGTGGATATTTACAACGTACTTACAAGCAAGAGGGTTGGCATCTGTAAAGGAGCTTCTAGCTACATTACACATATTGACTGGGATTCTCGAGGTAAAGCATGTTATGGCCTTTAATGTATTTTTTCTAGTTTTTAAAAAATCAATTGTCATTCATATATTGTTTCCAGAGAGAATGGCAATTGAGTTTTAGATGAAAATGTGGAAATAGCCATAGCAATATAAATGGCTTTAATTTTACAGTCAGAAAACAGGTCCTGTTAACATGGAATATATTTCCATCGTTTAAAAATATTGTTGATACTATACAATAAAAACTGTTGGGGTTGGAAACCACTAAAGATACACAGTGCAAGACACCATATAAACTACTACCTTGCTTTTGAGCTGATCATGTTCCGTCACTGTCCTGGTCTCGTCCTCCTTCCTGCTTTCCTGTTTCTGATCAAAAAGCCACCTCGTGGAAAATGGCCCCAAAAGGCTTTAATGATCTCATCTTCCATTTCAGACAGAAAGGTACCTTGAGCTTGCCTAAAGTATCTTTTCTCTCTAAGGCTTCCAACCTACCCCCAGCCTCCTCCTCCAAGTCATCCCCACAAGCACCACAAAGACTTGTCTGTTATTTAATACATCTAACATCTACATTTGCAAAGTATTATGTCAAGAGGTAGGAATGAGACATGGCTGCTATTCTCTGTGGAATTTATAGTTTGGTGAGGGTAATATCATTGTATTGAACTACTATGAAAGCACAGATTGGGTAAGCTATGGGGATAAGAAGTGGCGAGTCATAGGGGAAGAAGTGGGCCGAGGCTCAGGACGGGCCAGACCAGCATTAAAGTGGGACGTATGATCTATAGGTTGGGTCACTTTAGATCATGTCTCAGAGACTTGGCTGATGTTAAAAGGCTGCATCAGGCAGTTAGGAATGGACAGTGTCCTTGTTGTCAAAGAAAGCATAATCAATCCATTGTGGTAGAAAACCACAAAATACAATGTGGGCTCCGAGAAAAATGCTCTCAGGGAACCCACGGAACCTTTATAGAAAGATCTTTAGAGATGACCAGAAATTCACCAGTTGGCAAAGTCAAGGAGCATTCCAGGCAAAAGGCACATGGCATGCAAAGCCGTGAAGGCCGGAGGACACAGGCTAGTGGCCACATGAGGGAAGCAAGGGAAAGTGGACAGGCAGACCAGAACAGGGTGAACAAGGGAGCTTACATCATGCTGGGAAGCTAATGGTGAGCTTCATTCTGTGTTACTAAGTAGGGCATTACCCACTGCTAGGGAGGGTAGGTGGACCTGTAGTTGAAGAGCACCTAATGTGAGAGCACCTGTGGAGAGAGGTGATGAGAGCCTCAACAAGGTTACGTTGGAGACATAACTGAGAAAACTGTATTTCAAGTATTCTTGAAGAAACAGTGGAAGACTGAGTTTGGCAGTCCTTTCATCAGGCAGGTTTACAGTTGTAGCTGGACTTGCCGCCCTGGATTTGGGTTTTATTTCAGCTTTATAACTTGAAGGAGCTTTATAGAGTACAACACATGGGTACAAAGCATGTGGTTTACTGTAAGACGGATGTTACAGTTGTGTCTAGATGTTCCCCCAAAGCTTCATGCAGTCATAGGTGGGGTTTTTACAGAGGCGACTGGATCTAGAGTGTGTGATCCCGGGGTTGACTCACCGTGCAATGCTAGGATCAAGGGCACTAGGATTGAGTGTTGCCTATTCTCGGTAGCCTGGAGAAGACAGACGGGATAGAAAGAGCTGTGGGTGTCTCTTGTTGCTTTGCTACCTTCTGCATGTTATGAACTGTTTCTCCTCTGTGGTGACTGTCTGCCTTGTGGCCAGCCAGTTATGGACCGAAACTTGCACAGACTGAACTAAATAAACCTTTTTCCCTTTAAGTTTGGGTGTTGGGTATTTTGCTCAGCAACAAGAGAAGTAACTAAGTCAAGGTACAAGTGCCAACAAAGGCAAAGGGCGATCAGATAAGTCCCTGTCACTTTGATGTGAATGCCGTGCGGGCTGGCCACAGTGCCAGGGATTTGGCTGGCCTTGTGATCCGCAGGGACTGGCACCGGGGCGTCACCTAGGAACTGTGAGGCCAAACAGATCAGTAGCTGCTTCTCAGACCTCTTCTTCAGTAGTCTCTGCTCTGTGGTGGTTGTTATTTCTCCTTTTTCTGCTTATTTCTCTTGTAAAGTAGACGTGGCATTTCTACCACCAAAATCACTATTCAGAGGTGAAAACCTCTTGTTACATTTATTAGGAAGTGAAGGACCAAGAGAAAATGGGATATAGGAAGAGCAAGTTTTTATTCAGAATTTTTTAACAGTTATATTTAATTATGGTAAAACATATGTATAATTTAAATTTTTAATCATTCCAAACAAACTCATGACATTAAGCACATGCACATCATGTGCAACCATCTCCACCGCCCATTTCCAGAGCTCTTTCCATCTCATACAGCTGCAGCTGTCCACCCGGGACACAGTAACTCCCCACCCCTCCAGCCCTGAGGACCATCATGCTTTCTGTCTATGAACTGACAGCTCTAGCTGTGTCATGTAAGTGGAATTATATAGCAGTATGTGTAAACTATTTTACTTAGCAAAACCTTTCAAGGTTCATCCATGTTATAGCATGTGTCAGAATTACCTTCTTTTATAAGACTGAATTTTCTTCTGTAGGAATAGTTCCACATTTTCTTATTTGTTTATCTCTTGATAGACAATTGCCTTGCTTCCACATTTTAGCTATTATGCATAATACTTCTCTGAACACGTGCACACACAAATTTCTGCAAAGGCCCCTTTTCAGTTCTTTAGGATATGTATATACCTAGATGTGGATCTCCTATGATAGTTCCATTTTTAAGTTTTTGAGAAATCGCCATATTGTTTTCCACAGCAGCTGCACCACTTTACATTCTCTCCAGCAGTACCCAAGAGTTCCAGCCCTCTCCTGTTCTTGCCATTATTTTCTGTTTTATTTTGATAGCAGCCACCTTAATGGGTATGATTAGCTACCTCATTGTGATAGTGATTTGACTTGGGAGAGTTGTGTTTTGTTTTGCTTTTGACTCTTTAATTCTGAAAGTGTGTAGGCCCTGTATCAGATGCTGGGGCTTAAAGATGAGTAAGCCAGGATGGAGAACCTAAGATTTTGGCCAGGATCAGTGGCTTGTTGCTGCCACGGGGCCTGGGTGAGATCTGTGTAAAGTACCTCAGTACAGAGCTGTCACTGGCAAGAAAAGAGGAAGCCTCACTGTGTCTGTATTCAGTCAAGGCTGGCATCCTCGAACTCAGGGGCACAGGAAGGTGCCGAGAGGGAGGAGAAAGCTAAGGTCTTTGAAAACAACCTCACCTCTTTTACTAAGGACCTGTCGGTCAGGTGGGTGTGTCAGATGAAATGGTTTCTGGCTCATTACTTACTATTATTCATATTTTATTTTGATGTTTATTTTTACTCTAGATTTTTTGTATAAGTAAAAACATGTGATATTCAAGTTCATGTGTCTTATTTAGTTCACTTAGCATCATGTTTCCAATGTGTATCCATTTTCCTACAAAATGACTCAAGTTTATCTTTCTTTGTAGCAAAGTAGTACTCCGTTGTACATAAATACCATTGTATTTAATTTATGTATTGTACATAAATTCCATTCATCTGTTTATGGACATATAGGCTGCTTCCAAGATACAGCTCTTATCAGTTATGCTACCATAACATCAGTTTGCATGTATCGCTGCAGTATGATGTCTTTACCTCTTTAGAGAACATAACTGGAAGTGGAATAGGAGGGTCAAATGGAATTTCTAGTTTCAGTTTTTTGAGGAATCTCCACACTGATTTCCAGTTTACATTTCCATCAACAATGTACGCAGCTTCTTTTTTCTCCATGCCTCTGCAGCATTCCTTCTCAGGTGTTTTTTGATGATGGTCATTCTTTCTGGGGTAAGTTGGAATCTCTGTGTTGTTTTAACTTGTATTTCTCTGCATGTTGAGCAGCTCTTCGTGTGTTCATTGGTCATTTGTAGTTCATCTTCTGCAAATGTCTATTCTTTTCACTTGCCCAACTTTTGATTGAGTCTTTTATTTCAAGTGTCTACTTTTTTTGAGTTTTTCACGTATTCTAGATATGAGTCCACTACCAAAAATTTCCCCAGTCTGTAGGTTGCCTTTTCACTCTGTGGATTATTTTTCATCCTGTGCAGAACCTTTTACATTTAATATGATCCCATTTGTTGATTCTTGGAACTCTTTCCTGTGCAGCTGTTCTGCTTGTAAGTCCTTGCCTATGCCTGTGACTTCCAAGAGTTTTATCTACTTGTTTCCTAGCAGGTTATGTGTTTCTTTGTTAACATTTAGTTCTTTTTACTTCTATTTTAGGTTAGAACATATGAGAAGATGGGTCTATATTCAGTCTTTTGCGTGAGGATAACCAGTTTTCCCAACACCATTTATTAAAGAGGCGTTCTTTCCTCCAGTGTGTATTTTTGGTCCCTTTATGAAAGACCAAATAGTTGAATATATATAGGGGTCATTTCTGCATCCTCTATTCTGTTCTATCGATTCTTAGTTCTGTTTTTGTGCCAGTTCCATGCTATTCTTAATTAGTGTAGCTTTGTAATAGCTCTTTAAATTCAGGGCTGAAATGCCTCCAGAGTTACCCAGGACCAACTTCCTTTTCACAGTACTGCATTTTTCATTGTAGAGGTCTTTCACTTTCTTAGGTTGATTCCTATTGATTTAATTTTTCTTGGTGCTATTGTCAATGGTTATTTTTCCCTAATTTCTTTCTCAGTGAGTTCATTATTAGTGTACAGGAATTGATTTTGGCGTGTTGATTTTATATTCTGATATATTACTGAATGTGGTTCTTTTTGGTGGATTTTTGGGTCTTCTAATGTGGGGGATCATGTCATGTGCAAATAATGATAACTTGGCTTCTTGGATGGATGCAAAATATAAGTTGTATCCATTTACCTATAAAAGTCTCCAGTTTATCATTCTTTATAGCTGAGTAGTACTCTATTGTATAAAAATATCACATCTTTTTAATCCATTCCTTGTTTGATGGGCATT